TGGGTGAAAGTGAAATAAACCGTTTCATGCATTTTCATCAGTGTAGATTAACTTTAATCTTGATTTATTTTACTCTTTATCTTTTTCTAATCCTTAAAACTAGAAAAAGATAAATAGCAAATTAAACTAAGATTAAAGTTAATCTACATTGATAGAGATGGACATTAATACAGTCCAATGGAGCGATAAAGAATAGGTTTAAAATATAGATGCGTTTTCATTCTGCAGTTATAATCTAGGAATTCAATTGCAGGTGATAATTCTGATCACTTGTGTAGCCTGTGCATCGGAGAAATACCTGGCGGCAAATGTACAAACAAAGATCCTTACTCAGGGTATGAGGGTGCTTTCCGCTGCTTGGTTGAAGCGGGTGAAATTGCCTTTTTGGTGCACACGACTGTAGACGAGATGACTTCAACGACATTCGATTTCAGTACGCAGCTCTATAAGTGAAATTTTCAGAAAATAAAAATCGACAAACTATTCATTTTATAATTCTCATTATTTTAGGTTCCGTGAAAAAAGAACAATTCGAACTGCTATGCACAAGCGGTATTCGCAAGTCCGTAGACGATTACAGTACTTGTAATTGGGGTATCGTACCATCTCGCGCGATAGTCACATCTTCGGCGACGAATTTCGAGACTCGTCGAAGGTATCAACGATTTTTGGAAAAGACTGCTCGAATATTGCACAAGAATAAAAATGGTACGACGAACTTTAATCGTTTCGGCGATCAGGAAAATTTCATGAACCGTCCGGGTTACGACAATAATCAAAAAGATTTTGAGAATCGTCCGGGTTACGATAGTAATCAGAAGGATTTTGAAAACCGTCCGGGTTACAACAGATTTGGTGAGGGTGACTATAATAGAGGCGGATTTAGAAATCAGAATGAATATGGCACAGACCATTGGAATAGCAGATACGACCGAAAGTTTGGCGGTAGCGACGGAAGAGGAGTAGATGGAGGATTGAACACATGGGAGAAACCTGAATACAACGATACATTCAATTATTATAGCAGAGAAGGAGAAAATTTTGAACCAGCGAATGTGCAACCGATAGAAATGTTTGAAATATATGAATCTGCACCTAGATACGGAAAGCAGCATAATTTAATATTCTCTGTAAATCTTAATATTCTCATGTTTTGTTTGTTTGTTATTCGTTTATTTAGAACTTATTTGTAATGCATGCCATTTTTCTAGGATTCCTCTCGTGATTTTGTACAACTGCCCGAAAAGGATCAAACATACACAGGGTATTTAGGACAATCTTTAGAACATATATTAGGAGTACATCATTGTCCCGTAAATCGGATGACGCTATGCATTACATCCGATCCAGAAATGGAAAAATGTATAAAAATGAAGGTACAGTTTAGATTATATATTTAAAATATCACAGTTTACATTTTTACAGTTTACATTTTTTATTTCAAACATTATTTAAACATTTTTAATTTTAATGTCCTTAATATTTTTCGCAATAAATGCTTTACAGGTTTTAAAATGTTAGTAGTATAAAATTTAGAGAGATTATTATTTCAATTTGATTGCGTTACAACTCTGAAAAATAATCAGTGTGTAGTCATATTATCATATATCTCACATGAAATTTATTTAAATTAGATATAGATGTATTATTCCAATATCTATCTTTAGATACTGTAAGTGGCGCTTCTTTTATTTAATTAATTTAATTATCCTTATTGTATTTGTAGATCGCCTTAAAAGCCCAACTGTTGAAACCAGAATTAATTTGTCACAAAGGTCATAGTCAAATAAATTGTATGCAGTCGATAAGAAGCGGGTACGTGAAAAATATATTGCATTTAAACGTACGTATATTCTGAAATTAAATTGCGGGCGTAAAATAGTTTTATTTTATTTACGGTAGAATTGCCGATGTAGCTGTATTAGATGCCAGTGATGTCTACACCGCTGGATTGCAATTCGGACTGATTCCGTTTATATCCGAAGTGTACAATTTAGGTACACCGGACTATTACGTTGTCGCCGTTGCGAAGGAGGCGGACGACAATACAGATCTGACATATCTAAAAAATAAGAACACTTGTCACACTGGAATCAACATGGCTGCAGGATGGGTTTATCCGTTGGCATATCTGATTTCTAACAAGTGGATCAGAGGATACGGTTGCGATTCCGTACGTGCAGCTGCGGAATATTTTAGCAAATCCTGCGTGCCAGGCGCACTTAGTACCGAATATAATATAGGTAGTTGAAAAAAGTTCTAACAAAATGTTCTATCAAAATAAAAATTCTAACATATCCAAAAATTTTAGCTAAAAATTTCTAATTAAAAGTTCTAAATGAAGAAAGTTGGTAATTGTTCTAAGTTTGCAATTTGAAAATTAATAGAATAAAATAAAATAAATTGATAAAAGTAGCAAATTCTTTCATATAATAATATATAATAATGCATCTATAAACTGTTTTTATCTAATATTTGATTAATTAGTTACTTATTATTTGTAGGTGTGCCTTACGATAACATGTGCGATTTATGCCACGGGGTGAGCTACCGATATTGCCGAAGAGATGCTTCCGAGGATTACTTTGGTTATACAGGTGCTTTTAGATGTCTAGTAGAGGGAGGTGGTGACGTATCCTTCGTGAAGCATACGACAGTTGCAGAGAACACAGACGGCAAACGTAAAGAATTTTGGGCACGCAACACCTTCACAAAAGACTTTGAATTACTTTGCCCAGATGGTACACGTCGTCCAACAGCAGATTATATGAACTGCAATCTAGGGAAAGTCGCTGCCAATGCTATAGTTACACGCGGCGGTTATTACGGCTATAACCAGACGCAGATTAACGCATATATCAATCTATTTATATACGCACAACAGTTCTACGGCCGAAAGGAACCGGATGAATTCAGTTTCAGCATGTATTATAGCCGACCGCCTTACAGCGATCTAATTTTTCAAGATGCCACTCAGCAGTTGGTGGTAATCCCGCCGAACAAGCGGGAATACAGCATGTACCTAGGGCCAGATTTTATGAGAGCCAGGAGAATTGTAGATTGTAACGCAGGTGCGTCAGCAATAAGTTACTCGTTGTTCGCTACAATAATTATGATTGCGTTCACTTTCGCATTTGGTAGATAAGTATAATATCCGCGATTTATAGATTATATTTGTACACGAATACTCGAACGAGAATTCATCGAGATCAAAGAATAGAGATCTGACAAACGAATCTAATATAGCACATTTTATCAATTGGCCTAGCATGTATATTATAATTAGCAATCTAGTATAATATATTTTAATGCTGCTACGTATCGCTAATATTTTCAAAGATATATTCTAAATATTATTCAAATATTGTTTTATACATATTTTATACGTATATTTTTATAAAAGTACAAATGACTGAAAGACGGAGTTGAATATATAAATGTAAACATAATTGCTGCCTTTGCATCCGTCCAATGAAGCAATATCTTCAAGCGCTGCCTTTCCGTCCAAATAAAAAAAATTTATTCATCTGGTAATTTTAGAGATTATTGTATTCAAAATAATTTGTTGTAAACTATACTTGTATGTAAGTACATTTTATACCGTCCACTAATATTTTTTGTAGTAATAAATCTTTATAAGGTTTTCCATGTATTTTTACATTATTTCATGCGTTACTCAGTAAAGTAGTATCTTGAGTAGAAAAATCAACGGAGGACGTGAAATGAGATAGAACTTGTTTACATATAAATCCAAACTTTATGAAAAGTATTGCTTGTTTCTCAAATGGCGAAACATCGGAAGTAGAATGCTGACGCGCGATGACAGAAAAGATTGAAATTACAATTGAATAACGAACGGGAAAAAAGATTATTGCTTTGGCTGTCAAAAATTCTCACGCAAATCTTAAGTTTGGATCAAAATTTCTAAAGTTAACACGATTCTTAATCCGCCCCTAATCATTCAAATAATGTAATTTTAATAAAAATCTCGAATATTAAAATCTTGAATATTAAAGTTCTATTATTAATTGGAAAACAGATTGTTTTTGCAAGAAAATAGTGCAGGATAAAGCGATATGAATAGTGATACTCTGTCAACAAATACGTTTAAACACAAAAATTTAGAAAAAGGATCTAACACGCAACTCGATAGGCGCAATAAGCCTCAAGTAGTATTCTTGTAAGATCAAAAATGTAGTAATATAATACATCAAAATATATACATTCAGGTAACTGATGCTCGCCAAATATTCGACAATTTGAATCAATCCAGTCAACAAAAGCAGAAATTAGATTCTAACTTAACATCGACATCTCATACCTCATCTTCATCTACAAAATATACTAATGCCATAACAGGTGAAATCTTGTATAATTGATTGTAAATAATTTTCATTTCTATTTAATAATAAATCCACACATATATAAAATAAATATAATATATTATATCATTTTTTTATTTATATCTATGTCAATAACTTATCTCTTTGTTCTACGATTTTTTTCAATTGTTAACTGTATAAGTTCCAAATTTTCAGGTAAATACCAAGTCCATAAATTAGTGGACAGCAAACAAGTTCCATTTCATCAATTTGACAAGAAGGCATTTCTTCTAGATACTTACGCTCGTATCGTTGCTAGTAATAACAGATGCTGTCCTAAGCGATTGCGTCAACTTGCTAAACCAAAAAGACAGGCTCGTAGCGATCTGAATGACTATGCTGCGAATTTCGATTTAAATTATGGTCATGTAACTAAAACTTATATGAAAGACAAAAGCAAAAACTTAAAAGAATTAAAGAAAAAATAGTTCAGTTATCATAATACATTGATTTAAATAATTTCTCAGCATGATTACTTCAGTTTCAAACAATTCAACAGAATTCAAAAGACAAGAAAAATATCTATATATAAAGAATATTCAAAAAATTAAAAAATATAATTATTTTTAAGCCTCTACATTTTTTTAAGAAAATAAAATAAAAATCTTTCTGCTCTTGTAAAATCAAATTATAAGAAAAGAAAAGCTAATACAATAAAGTGATTGAATTTCGTGCATCTCTTTCCTGTAGTAAGATAGAATTGTAGATATGTAATATCTTTCCTGTAAGACTCGTTATATATTTCCTCATATTGAGGAAAATATAATAATCTACATTATTCAACACAGTTCGCAATTATTATTTATATCACTTGAAAAATGTAAAAGGATTGAAAAATGCCAAAAGGAAAAACCGATGATGTTGCGAACTGTGACCGTTGGAGATAAACGTGAAGATGATTTTTGTAAGTCGCTGATTTATCTGCGATCTCTCGTTACGGATAATCACATTAATTCTCGCTTCGTTTTGGTTCAAAATCCCGTGCGCATGTTTGAATTACAAAACCGTGCATGACCTCATGTACGCCTTGCTGTTTGTGGGAAATATTCTCGTATGATAGAGTGAAGTTTCCCAGAAAAACAATTGTGATTAAGCGCGCGCGCGCGTCTTCCTCTTCGCGGTTGGGTATATAAAAGTCTTCGTAGTGCCCTTGAGATGTTTTTAGTGCTCGCTGGTGCGGCACTTAACGTGCTTAACCGGTTTCACGTGCGTAAGTTTCCTACTTGCATTAAACTCGGACAGTCCAAACTGTCTTCCTCTGCAGAAATATCATGAAGTGCTTGTTCGTTATCTTCTTGAGCGTCGCTGTCGTGCTCGCCGATGACGATCTCACCGGCGAAGAGCATGAAGTCACCGCTCCGATTGGTAGAATTCGCGGTTCCATCATCATTTCCAGATTAGGCAAAAAAATCTATTCTTTCCGCGGTGTGAGATACGCCGAACCGCCGACTGGACAGCAACGTTTCCAAGTAAAGCATCAGATATTGCCTGCAGGATTGCGAAGTAACATTATTAATTATAACTGCGTTTTGTTATCCGTGTTTTTTTTTTTCGACTATGTCGTGACTTTTCAATAATGGTCATTACTTCTAATAATCTTTTAATGATCTTCTACTACAGCGAAAATAAAAATTGAAATATAATACACACCAATGTCAGATTAATTTTAATCTTAGTTCAATTTACTCTCTATTTATCTTTTTCTAATTCTGATGCCCATTTCTACCATTGTAATTTAATTTTAATCTTAGTTCACAATGAACTCTTCATCTTTTTATAATTCTAAGAATTAGAAAAAGATGAAGAGATAATTGAACCAAGATTAAATATAAACTATTTATAAAAACGGACATAATGTCCATTTCTAATATAGATTAACTTTAATCTCGGTTTAATTTTAACGTTCTGCAAAGAATGCATGATTTCAATACACTTTTCTCGCATACGTCAGAAATCTAATTTGATGCTGGTCAACTTCCCAGGAAACAATGTTTCATATATAATTACATACAATTATACAAAATTATATAAAATTATGTATAATTAGATACAAAATTGTCATATTTTATATACACAATTATACATAATTACATATAAAATTATATACAATTATATATAATTACATTTATGTCTATATATATAACATTATTTTTTTCCGGATTAATATTGACAGATAATGATTAATTACTTAATTTCAAGTACTAAGAACACTAAGAATAATAATGTTTTTAATACTTAAAATAAGTAATTATAATAATTACTGCTATCCAGTAATTCCAATATTCTATATAATTTTTATTGAAGCACTTCGTTTACGTTTCTTAAACGTTCAAAAGAATAAGCAACTAGTGTATAGAGATATTCTCATTTTTGTGCACATTTCTATATAACTAACTATTTCTATATAACTACGTTATTAGCGCTATCGCATCATAATTCTGTCCTTATTTTATGTCTAATAAACGTTAAAAATAGAATGACACTATAGCGCTCCCCGAACGTAGCATTGAGATAAAATATAAATATTTTTTAACAAACATTTTCATAACGTATTTAAGTTTCCCATTACTTTTCTTTTAAATTAAAAGCTTTAGACTTTTACCATAAATGCGAAATTGCTGCGTGTTTTAAAAGGCGCAGTATCAGCACTATATTTGCGTCATTTTATTTTTGTTTTATGTCTAATAAATAATAAAAATAAACTGACATAATAATAATAGCGTGTGCTTTCTTCGAATGCAATCTATATAATTTAAAGAAATAAAATGAAATTGTGTGTGATGTGAAATTGTGTGTTATGTATAAATTACATAAAGAAAATTGAAAGCTTCTCAAAATGTCAAAGAAGTTTAAATGAAGGGATTTTACGTTTCTTCATTAGAAGTTTCATTGATTTTTCATTGATCTTTCGCGGTTTCGAACGTACATATTATGTAGTTCATACCACGCTCTCTGAACGCATCATATAAAGCATCATGTATTATGGAACATTCTTGTTACGTTTTCTACACTTTTTTATAATTCGTTTTTCTTTACATTTCCTAAACATTCCACAAAGTGTGTACAAAACACTTCATTAAAGTTAATCGTTCTGCTCGTGTTTGTCGAAGAATTTTATACTACGTTAGTGCTTTTTGACGTTTACAGTTATCAGTCCGATGTTTCAACTTTTTCCTCTTACAAATCTCATTTACACATTCGTTACTTTTCCCTTGCACTAAATTTACTCTTCAATTAACGCTTTATTGACATTTGTTGTACGTTTTATTTTCGTTACCATTATTAAATTAAAAGCATTTTATTTTTTGATCCAGTAATTTGTTGGCAAAAATAAGACCAATGTTTATCAGACTAGACCAAATTTTTCTTTCAATTTTATTTTTATCTAGGTCGCAATTCCAGCGGCAGATTGGAATGACGTTTTCGATGCGACTAAAGAAGGACCTGCCTGTCCAGCATTATTCGTACAGAATATAATGGAGGATTGTCTCCGTGTGAATGTCTATACGACGAAAGTGAGTCTCATGATGTAACATACATTCACGCTAGAAAAGGTATGAAGTTCACTAATTGAACAATTATCTTGATTGCAGTTACCGTCGGAGAACGATCCAGTAAAAAGACCTGTACTAGTATTCTTCCATCCTGGTGGTTTTTACTTATTCTCAGGCCAAAGTTCTAACTTCGGACCTCAGTACTTGCTGGACAAAGACATCGTTCTTGTCACCGTCAATTACCGTCTCGCGTCACTAGGTAAAATTCCGCGTTTTATATACATATCTTTCCAATAATTCGAATTGCAATGATAAAATTTCGAGCGAAATTTAAAATTGGAGGGAAAAAATGATATATATATATATGGACATATTTTATATATAATTATACATATAAAATATGTCAATTTTTTATACAATTTTATATAACTTTAAATATAATTATGTATAATTATGAAACATTTTTGTCTCCGGTAATGATTCGTAAAACGATTAGTAGGATTTTATCACTATAGTAATTCAAAGAATTAAAAAAACTTCTTTTCTTCAAAACCCCCCTGTTTATGTTTATCCACGTCAGGCTTTCTGAGCACGGGCGATTCGAAGGCACCGGGTAATGTCGGACTGAAGGATCAAGTTGTAGCGCTTCGATGGATCCAGAGGAACATAGCTGTCTTTGGCGGCGACCCCGATAGCGTTACTATATCCGGCTATAGCGTTGGTGGAATAAGCGTATTATTACACATGGTCTCACCAATGTCCAAAGGATTGTTCCATCAGGCAATCATGATGAGCGGCTCGATGATGATAGAACCGTATCCGACTGAACAGCTGCACATAGCGAAGAAGCAAGCCGAATTGTTAGATTGTCCAACCGATACCACTGGCTCTATGCTGATCTGCTTGAATTCCAAACCAGTGGAGAACTTTACAGACACCATACGCAATTTCTTTGTAAGAAAGATTATATATTGTACAAGACGAGATTAATGAGATCTAATAGATAAGATTAAATATATCCAATAAATACTAATTAGTAATAACATAAAATTAATGTTATTAATGTTATTATTTCACACTTAACAATATAAATATTATGTATAACATGTGATATATTATATATTATATTTATATTATTAAGTGTAAAATTACCCAATAAATACTAACTAATAGTAACGCGCGTAACATAAATGTTATTCATTTCTATATAGTTAGTATTTATTGGATAATTTTTCTGTCAAATAGAAATTCAGAAAAACGATATGATATCGTATAAAAAAATTTTTAAAAATAAGAAACGAAAGAATAAAGATTCAATATTTTCAAATGACTAGATAAAAAAATATTTTTTAACATACTATGGCATTTTAGGAGTGGTATGGTCATCCAATCATGATATGGACACCTGTAGTGGAACCTGAGGTTCACGGCATGGAAAGATTCCTGCCCGAACAGCCCATTGATCTAATTAGAAAAGGGAAATTCCACAAGGTTCCGTTAATTGCAGGAGTTACTAAAAACGAGTTTGACGGTGTAGTTGCTTGTAAGAATCTTTTGTATTTGTATTTTCTTTGTAACTTCCATTCAATTTCCCAGTTAAAAATAATGACTGAAATTACAGAAATTAATAAGTATATACAGGGTGTCTCGCGAGACTTCTCCAACCCGCAGGAAGGTAGATGGGATCGAGAAATAAACATAAATGTCCTTTATCGTTTAGTGATTTTCGTAATAATTATCGAGATATTAATGTTTGTAATTGTACTAATGAGAACGCGCCGTTAGAAACGCTCCGGTATACCCCGGCCTACTTTTTCAAACATAGCCTGCGCCAGCAGCGCGTTGGAGAAGTAAGAAAGGAAGCCACTATCGGCGCACTCTCATTAGTACAATTGCAAACATTAATATTTCGATTATTATTACGAATATCGCTAAATGATAGAGGACTTTTATGTTTATTTCGATCTCATCTATCTTCTTATGGGTGGTTGGAGAAGTCTCGCGGGACATCCTGT